TTCTTAGATACCAGTGGGCCCTAGGGCCAATGCCTGCTTCCTGACGAGGCCGCTCATGAGAATCTGCTGCTGCATTCTACTGCTGGTTTCTTTCTTCTATATATATTTTCCTCCCCTCTCCTGCCTCAGTTGCCATTTGACCGTAGAGTCTTTGCATGGACACTTTCTTGGCTGCTTTTCCCGGATGCATCTTTAGTTTTGTAGTTTTCATATGTTGCCTTTCAATGTCTAGGTACATACCACCGGTTTAGTGGCGTCCCAAAAATGTAGCTTACATTTTTGGAGGTTCCGGTTTCTTAACGCCTTTCTGTGTTTTCATCTTTTTTCCTCTAGACCTTTCTTCCTTCTCTTCCCGTTCTTTTCTGTATTTCTTTCCTTCTTCTTAGATACCTGATACCAGTGGGCCCAGGGCCATTACCCGCTTCCTGACGGAGCCGCTCATGAGAATCTGCTGCTGCATTCTACTGCTGGATTCTTTCTTCTATTTATATTGTCCTCCCCTCTCCTCTCTCAGTTGCCATAGAGTCTTTGCATGGACACTTTCTTGGCTGCTTCTCCCGGATGCATCTTTAGTTTTGTAGTTTTCATATGTTGCCTTTCCATGTCTAGGTACATACCACCGGTTTAGGGGCGTTCCAAAATGTAGCTTACATTTTTGGAAGCTCCGTTTTCTTAACGCCTCTCTGTGTTTTCCCCTTTTCCTCTTGACCTTTCTTCTCTTCCCAGTTTTTTTCTGTAATTCTTTCCTTCTTCTTAGATACCAGTGGGCCCTATAGGGCCATTACCCGATTCCTGACGAAGCCGCTCATGAGAATCTGCTGCTGCACTCTACTGCTGGTGTCTTTTTTCTATTTATATTGTCCTCCCCTCTCCTCTCTCAGTTGCCGTAGAGTCTTTGCATGGAAACTTTCTTGGCTGCTTTTCCCGGTTGCATCTTTAGTTTTGTAGTTTTCATATGTTGCCTTTCAATGTCTAGGTACATCCCACCGGTTTAGGGGCGTCCCAAAATGTAGCTTACATTTTTGGAGGTTCCGGTTTCACAACGCCTTTCTGTGTTTTAATCTGTTTTCCTCTAGACCTTTCTTCCTTCTCTTCCCGTTCTTTTCTGCATTTCTTTCCTTCTTCTTAGATGCCAGTGCGCCCTGGGGCCATTGCCCGCTTCCTGACGGAGCCGCTCATGACAATCTGCTGCTGCATTCTACTGCTGGATTCTTTCTTCTATTTATATGTTCCTCCCCTCTCCCCTCTCAGTTGCCATTTGACCGTAGTCTTTGCATGGACACGTTCTTGGCTGCTTTTCCCGGATGCATCTTTACTTTTGTATATAGTTTTCATATGTTGCCTTTCAATGTCCAGGTACATACCACCGGCTTAGGGGCGTCCCAATATGTAGCTTACATTTTTGGAGGTTCCCATTTGTTAACGCCTCTCTGTGCTTTCCCTTTTTTCCTGCAGACCTTTCTTCCTTCTCTTCCCGTTCTTTTTTGTATTTCTTTCCTTCTTCTTAGATATGAGTGGGCCCTAGGGCCATCATATACCGCTTCCTGACGGAGCCGCTCATGAGAATCTGCTGCTGCATTCTACGGCTGGTTTTTTTCTTCTATGAATATGTTCCTCCCATCTCCTGTCTCAGTTGTCATTTGACAGTAGAGTCTTTGCATATGGACACTTTGTTGGCTGCCTTTCCCGGATGCATCTTTTGTTTATAGTTTTCATATGTTGCCTTTCAATGTCTTCAATGTCTAAGTACATACCAACGGTTTAGGGGCGTCCCAAAATGTAGCTTACATTTTTGGATGTTCCGTTTTCTTAACGCCTTTCTGTGTTTTCCTTTTTCTCCTCTAGACCTTTCCTCCTTCTCTTCCCGCTCTTTTCTGTATTTCCTTCCTTCTTCTTAGATATGAGTGGGCCCTAGGGCCATTATATACCCGCTTCCTGACGGAGCCACTCATGAGAATCTGCTGCTGCACTCTACTGCTGGTTTCTTTCTTCTATGTATATTTTCCTCCCCTCTCCTGTCTCAGTTGCCATTTGACCGTAGAGTCTTTGCATATGGACACTTTCTTGGCTGCTTTTCCCGGACGCATCTTTTGTTTGTAGTTCTCATATGTTGCCTTTCAATGTCTTCAATGTCTAGGTACATACCAACGGTTTAGGGGCGTCCCAAAATGTAGCTTACATTTTTGGAGGTTCCGTTTTCTTAACGCCTTTCTGTGTTTTCCCCTTTTTCCTCTAGACCTTTCTTTCTTCTCTTCATGTTTTTCTCTTTTTTAAAAATGCATTTCTGTGTTTTCCCCTTTTTCCTCTAGACCTTTCTTCCTTCTCTTCATGCTTTTCCTGTGTTTCGCAACACGTCTCTTCGAGCCACTCCCAAGAGTTCCACGACCCCCCCCCAGGGAAAGAAACCACAACAATGATCAACAATGACAGCACAGTGCAAAGATCTGAAAAGACCAGTAATATTGTTCACGTAAAAACTCCCTTGGGCGAAGTCGGCAAAGACAAGAGTCCTCCCAGTACAGCATGCATGGTGGCGGCGGTGCTGTGTGAGGTGGCCTGCGCTGCTGGACTTCGGCCGCTAGGGCTGCGCGCAGCAGCTGGCTGCCGCTGTAAGCGGAGGTGATTGTGCTCATGGCGGTTTGCTGTCCAAACCCATGCGCCGAAATGCTGCGCCATGTGCAGCGCACACGATAACTATGTCCCAGGCACTGAAGCAACTCCAAGAATGGAACTCCCACATCAATGTGGAACGACGGTGGACGACGCTCGTACGTCCCCCCCCCCTGAAATGTAGAGGCCTACTTGTACAGGTTCCACTCCAGTGGCCTATCTAGTGTGTCCATGCTTGACTGCCATAAGGTTCAAGAGGATAAGACTCTGCGTAGAAAAAGACACTAGCGGTCTGCACCTCAACCGTGTACGCCCTAGTCACTCTTTCAGTGGTAGCGGAGCAGTGATCCTGGAAGACCCAGGTGAGCTCCTTTCCTAGGCATAGACTTGCTTTTAGGCAAACGCCCATGGATTGGATTGACGACTGGGAAGAGCCTGATGCGGATGTGGCTTATGAGCCAGCAGCCTATGTGAATAGGCATGTGAGAAGAGAACCAGCAGCTATAGCAATGACAACACAGGTCACTACAAAGGTGCCCCCATCTTATGATGGAAAGACTTCATGGTTTTCCTATGAGGATGCCATAGACGATTGGTGCGATATCACCGAGCTGGAGGATGAGAAGAGAGGACCAGCATTGAGGAACAGATTAGAAGGAGAAGCAGCTGTATACAAACGTGTTTTAGACAGAGATGCATTGAAGGCGAATGATCCACCAGGAGCTGGAGTAGATTATTTCAAACGAGTACTACGACCATATTTTGTGAAAGGAGCAACCAATGTATTCCTGTATAGGTTTATGCAATTCGTGCGCTTCAATCGCGGATCAGCTGACATGATGAAGTGGATGACCAGATTTCAGATTTTACTCCAAAGGCTTATGAGCAGTTGGATGGACATGTTGGAGCCAGTCACACAAGCACATCCTCAGGTACAAGCTCAGATGCAAGCTGATGCAGTGATGAATGGAGTAGCTCCAACGGCGGAAAGAATTCAGGAAATCATGCAGACTATCAATGGCAATCTGAGAACTTTTCATCAGAACGATTTTCCTTTGGGAGAAAATCTCATTGCCTTACTCATGCTGTCACTTGCAGATTTGTCTCAGGACCAGAGGAACACTTTGACCTCTTTGATGACTCATCGTGGCAGGGTCCTGCAGCAATACACCACAGCAGAGTTGAAGACAGTTTTCATTGAGATGTTCTGCA